GTCCTTTTCTTATTAGTAAGGGATCCACATAGGATGAAACCATGGACCCGAAGTATATGACAGAGAGTGACACACCAAAAACAACATCACTTCTGTGAAATTAGCAGATTCTTTAAAGTCTGCGCTTCAAATTGAATAATTCAAGAACATCATTACTGGTGAATTTAGGCATTTTGCATATTTAATATATAATGGAGAAGCACTACCTTATATAGAAAATGTATTAACTGATAACAATACAGTCTTGCGCTACACAGTGACATTTTGGTCAATGACGGACCACATATATGACAGTGGTCCCATAAGATTAGTACCATATAGCCTAGCTGTATAGTAGGCTACACCATCCAGGTTTGTGATAAGTACACTCTGTGATGTTCACACAATGACGAAATCACCTAAGGATGCATTTCTTGGAACATATTCCCGTCATTAAGCGACACACGACTGTAGTGTCAATCTCATAGCTTTGTTGTGAAGACGAAATGAGTTAATACACGTGATGTACTTAGATCGGTGCCTGGCATGTGCTTAGTAATTATTTATCTATTGTTATTATTGTTACTGTCACTAAAATTACTATCATTGCAAATAATTGTTACTTAAAACCCAGAGAGGTGGTTATTATTACCTCCAGTTTATTGAAGAGGAAATGGAGGCTCAGAGAGGTTGAGAAAATTGCTTAAATTCACACACATTTAGTGCTGGTGCCGCCACAAGACTCTGGACTCGAAGTCCAGGCTTCTTCCTACCACCCACTCTGCCTCTGCAAGGAGACTATAAATAAATGCAGCCGAATCAGCAAAGACGTCTTCTTTAGATTTCTAACCTCAAAGTGGCATAATAATTGTATGTACAATTCTTTTGATCAAAAAGTAGCACCTCCAGAGAAGGCTACCTGAAAAAGAACATCATTAATTTGCAGGCATTTAGTTAAGACAGGACAAAGTCCTTTAATGTCTAAATGTCTTGCAAAGTCAAGTAGCTTAGGAAGACGGGCAGGATGGAAAGAAAAGAGGACATGAGCAGATGTCAGAAACTCAGGGTTGAGTCCTGGTCCCTCTGCGCACTGCTGTGAGGTCTTAGACGCGTTACGCAAACGCTCTACTTCAAGTGATGATTGTGAGGATTAAACAAGATAATGCTTGTTACTGCATGTCAACGAGAGAACTCAGGGAAAATGTAAGCCACTATTTTTATCATCATAATCCAGGAGCCAGTAAAATCTGTTTTTTATTGACATAATAAGCTCAAAGTCAACACTCGCCAAACATTTCCAAGATGATCCTTTAATAGATAGGAACTTGACTGAAATTTCTCAGCATTTTACACCATTTTCATTCCTGGAAACCATGAGCTAAACAAAGAACACGGACATGTTCTCTTGTAAACTCCAGTCTCTTTTCTTTCTTTCTTCCTCTGGAATTCTGAAAACATTCAAATCTACATCCCTTCAGCTCACAAGCCGCCTTATAGAAACCAGATGAGGAATACTTTTGTCCCAGGGAGGCGAGACCTGCCATGTTCATCTACCTGCATGGCTGTAAACAAGTGTAAATATTGTGCTCCCTGGAGACTGCAAAAGCTCGGAGGAGCAGGGGGCTCATGGCAGTCCAACCTTCCCCACCTAAACCACCAAAACATGAATTTCTCCACCTCGGAGGAGAACTGAAGAAAAAGGGAATGATAAAGAGAGTAAAGGGCATGCCTACAGCTGCCAGTCTGGATCCACTCTCAGCAGCAACCCACCCACTCCCACATCACGTGCCAGTTCATGGGTGAGTGAATTGGTGGTCTACATGGTGGTCTCGCGCCTCCTTCCCATCCCTGCTTCCACAAAGTTTCAAGTCAGACTATCAACCCTCAGGTAGGAGTTCAGAGCATCAAACTCTTAAAAAAAGGACAAATCTCTCCAGAAAAAGGATGTCCAAATAGTGACAGTTTGAGGAGGCCCCCTGCTCCATAGATATACACCACAAAAAATCAGATTTGCAACCTGGTCACTCCATAGTGAGGCTCACCAGTGGACAAGCTGTGCTCACACACACAGAGGCCAATCAGCTTACTGGCTCCCAACACTCAAAGATGGATACTGCCAAAAGTCAGTAAAAAGACACAAAAATAGACAGAAAAAAGGTGGGATTCAGAGAAAACAGAGACAATGCAGGTAGCAGAATAATCTTAAAAACAAAAGCAAAGCAAAGAAAAATTTGATTAATATCCTCAAAGAGAGAAAAGAATAAAATGCATCCATGAAATAAGAAGAAACATTAAAACAAAGTGAACAGAGATTTAAAAAGGGCTCTTGGATATTAAAAATATGATAGCTGAAATTTTAAAATATCAGTAGAAAGGCTAGAAGATAAAGTCAGGGAAATCTTTCAGAAAGCAGAGTAAAAGATCAAAGCGACAGAAAACAAAAGGGAAAAGATAAGAAATTATAGAGTTCCATCGAGAAGAAGTAAATAGCAGGAGAGCCAGAAAAATAGAGTACTGAAGAAGAAATTAATAAAAATAACAAATAATAAAAGACTTTTTTGGGAAAAACTGAAAGATATAAATCTTCAGACTAAAAGAGCTTATAAAGCACCTAGCGTATGAATAGGAAAAAATCCACACCAGAGCATATCATTGTAAACTTTCAAAATATGGAGATAATCCTAAAAGTTAACCGAAGGGAAAAAAATAGGTTGCATACAAAGGTCTGAGAATGGAAATGGTATCAGGGGCGGGCCCAGCGGCACAGCGGTTAAGTGCACACATTCCGCTTTGGTGGCCCGGAGTTCACCAGTTCAGATCCTCGGTGCGGACATGGCACCACTTGTCAAAGGCCATGCTGTGGTAAGCGTCCCATGTATAAAATAGGGGAAGATGGGCATGGATGTTAGCTCAGGGCCAGTCTTCCTCAGCAAAAAGAGAAGGATTGTCAGTAGTTGGCTCAGGGCTAGTCTTCCTCAAAAAAAAAAAAAAGAAAAGAAACGGTATCAGACTTCTTAACAATAGAAGTAATAGGACAATAAAGTAATGCCTTTAAAATTGAGTTTTAACAATGGATTTTATCCTTGAATTCTACACCATCCAAACTATGGATCAAGATACATTTCTATATATGCAAGGATTAAAAAAATTTACCTTCTATGCCTCCTTAACCAAAAAGCTACGGGATGATGAACTCTAACTAAAATGAGGAAGCTGGGGATTTAAGAAACAAAGTATCTAACATAGGACAGGAGTGAACGGAAATCTCAAGACAGCAGCCACTCAGTAGACCCCAAGAATAACTTCTCCAGATTGTTGCCCAGGGGCTCCAGGAGGCAAGTTGGGGGTGGCAGGATGGAAATGATGCGTTTGAGCACACAGAAAATATATTACACGTCTGACAAAGATATTGAGAGTTCAACGAAAAATATCAATAGGTACTAGACAAAATAAATGACAAGGTAGTTATCAACTCCAGGAAAAACAAAGGGCTATACGACAAAGAAGCCATGGTTCTGTTCCACTATTTGGCTAGGCAGTGAAAAATATTTGTTTAAATCATAATGTTATTAACCTTGACTACTGATTTAACAAAACATTGTTTTGTTTATTTGTTTATTGAAGATGTAGGGGAATGAATTGTGTGGAGAGTGAGAAAGCTACCATATTTTCCCTTAAGTCAACAGATGAAAAAAACAGAGTAGTAAGTGCACATTTAGGAAAAGCAAGGAAACAGCCCTAAGTTTTTGTATAAAAATATATAAAGTATATACCTCTCAGGAGGGGGACTTGTGGCGAGGGATGGCAAAGACACCACTACTTTTTCTTTACAAGCCTAAAGGTATTTTGGGTTTTCAAAATTATGAATATGTATTACCGTGATAAAAATATGCATTTTAATAACTAAAATTAAAATTAAAAATCTCTATGACTGCAAGATGTAATCAACATAAAGGAAAACTGAAGGGGCCGGCCCAGTGCTGCAGTGGTTAAGTTCACACATTCCACTTTGGTGGCCTGGGGTTTGCCAGTTCAAATCCTGGGTGCAGACATGGCACTGCTCGTCAAGCCATGCTGTGGTAGGCATCCCACATATAAAGCAGAGGAAGATGGGCATGGATGTTAGCTCAGGGCCAGTCTTCCTCAGCTAAAAGAAAAAAAAGAGAGAGAGAGGAGGATTGGCAGCAGATGTTAGCTCAGCCCTAATCTTCCTCAAAAAAAACATAAACAAAAACTGGAGATTGTAAGAACAAAGCTCAAATAAGTAACTGGCCTCAGACCAAACGATCATAAAACATCCTAGTCGTTTAAATTTTACACACTCTTTTAAAAGCCTGCTTTCCTCTCACTTTGTAATTACACCACTTCAAAAAACACAAGTCCTACCACCACTGCTTTGATGTTGCAAACAGATTCCGAAACATCTGATGGCTCTTCTCATTTCTCTGAGTCATCACAGGAACATCTTTTACCAATATTTTCAGAACTGATCAAATCCTTCATTTCTGCATGGTTTGTGCTTTCAGCCATGAGAGTCAACATTAAATGCTTTGGTTTAATCAAACAAATACCCATTGTTGTTTACATTAATATTTATACGCTTGATGAATATCCAAACAAAGCATAAAATTTCTTCTTCCAATAAAGGCATCCATAGAATTGGCTTCAAGCTTTTTAAAAATACATACCGATACACTAACAGAATGTAGTCTCCACTTATAAAGCTAAAACTTTGACTAAAGTGATTCCAAACCCTCTCATCATTACCTCTGAAATTTGGCTTTTCCATAAAAGCAAGCAACACACTCAACTCCATCAGGTTTAAGTCTTTCAGAACCAGACATTTATACAAATGAGGATGTTAGTACTATTCAGAAACATATGTGCTTCACTTATCGATGATAATTGCTACTCGGTATACACAAATCAAACCCAGTTATTGTGGTTTGGCTTTAAAAATAGACAAATTGATTTAACCAAAAGGAATTCACACAAGGTCCTTAGGAAAAGTGACTGTTTACCTCTGTTGGTTTGTAGCAGTCTATGAGCGCTTCCTAGAATGAAACACACAGGCATTTATTATAAAATTTAGCATCATTTTAAAAGTGAAACTAAAAATCATTTCATCTTTATAGTATTATTCTAAAATGGTAAATCAAGATCTCACACTGGCTGTCTAGAATCACACTTTATTATTACTGATTATTTGTTGGTCATCTGAAGATACATAAACTTGCACACTTTATGTGCAGGAATGTCATGCAATCTTCAGAATACACACATGCTTACATACACACACACACACTCACACACACCCCTTTCCTTCAGACTGCCAACCTGGTTAATAATAACCCAGATATACTTAAATTGAGGCAGCCCGTGAGAGACGGTGACAATCACACTAGACTCGGAGAGTGGGGAGCCGGGCTGTGACTCAAGCAGAAACCAGCTTGTCACAGCCCTGCAGGCTTCAGTGTCCTCGCTGAGAACCAGAGGGGTGCCCTCCCCGTAGCTAGAGCCCTTTTCAAGTTTTCAATTTTAAGAAAACTTTTATGTCGTTACGTTTTCAAAAGAACTGGTTCCTGCTTTATTTTTCCTTTGGTAACTTTCATAGTTAGCATGCTAACATCTCCCAACCAAATTCATTAACAAGACATAATCATTACACTGAGACTGGTCGCCACTCAAGGGACGCTGGTAATTAGTAACACATTAAACACATTAATACATTAAAATGTGCCTTTTAATTGCCTTTAGTGATCATTTGCCATTGGTGATAAGCAACAGCCTTTAACAGTAATTATCAGCGAACGTTAAGAACAATGGCAGGTCAAAGGTTAATTGGTTTTAGAAACTGCCAAGTGCAGATTTTAAGATGATAGATTTCATCTCCTGTAGGAGGGAAATAAATATCTTATTGCTCTGGACTAAAGAAACAGGAGACATGCCAACATCCACCGTCGTACGAGAATGCTTATCAGTTGAGCATCCTCTAATAAAGGATATTTTATTAGATAGAATTACATTGCAAACAATCTTATCTAGAAATGAATTTTATGAATGATATAATCCACGACTGGGAGACCAGAGTCCCGGGCTTACAGACCGGTTCTAGCTTCGCCTCCTCACACTACTGTGGGCCATCACTTCCTTCCCAGGCAAGAGGATCTCCGGAAGCAGAACCAGCCCTTTCTCCCAAGAAGATGAGGCTGGAGAGACTCATCCATAAGGTGCTTGGAGAACTGACTGTAGTCAAGAACGGCTTTCTCATCAGAGACGTCGCTAATGAGGATGAATACTCACATCCGGTTGCCTTCCTCTCTGCAAACTGCCATTGCTCAAACCGGGGGGCCAACACTGCCAGAGGGCAGAATCAGGGCATGCCAAGCTCTAGAGACCCAAGTGGATTCAAGCATCCATGCGTGGAAGCTTCCAGATTTTGAAAGCTGCTTACCCGTAGTTTTGAAGCTCTGTCTTCTTCACTGTCTGCATCGAGAAGATCATCAATGTCAATTTCTACCTCTGGCATTTCTTCTTCCTGGGGGGCGAAAGTGAAGGCATTCTATTTAGTGACAAACTACATTGTACCGATAATTTAGTTGAGTTAAATAAATTATTAGATCATCAATTAAGGGAGGTGGACAATTCAGGGGGGAAGGAGAGACCAGGAGGAAGAGGCGGGAGAGGAGGAGAAGCAGGAAAAAGAAAGAAAAACCAGGAAAACAGAATGAAAAGGAAGCAGAGGAGGGAGGGGAGAAGGAAAGAGAGACAGGAGCTGGGAGCAAAGGAGATTTAAGAGTCACAAAGCAGGAAAAAGTAATATTTTCAAAAATGACAATTTTCCGGTTTCTGGCAGAAAACTGATTATGAGTATACAATGGGGAATTGGCAGGTTCTAGAAAGAGCGGGGAGAGGTGCAGTTTCCTACACTACATCTCCCCTTCTCTCGGTGACTGCCGATCTTCATCTGGGGAGCTGGGTGCCTCCCTTCAGGGCTCCGGGTCTGGGGAAACCCGCTTCCACCACCGGTTTCTGATGTGGACACTTGAGTCCACATCGCCCCACCCAGCCCCAGTTACTGACTCAGGACAGGACCTGTGATCCAGCTGAGGCCAGTGGGGCTCTGGGAAAAGACGCTCTTTCAGCAGGAGCATCCCTGCTCGCTCCTCTGCACTGAGGAAGCGCTTAGCCTGGAAACTGCTCGCAGCCATCATGGACCACGAAGGGAGCGAGTCTGACTCATGGTGGGCAGAGTAGGGAGAAATAAGAAAGGAGAGTTCTGGAGAACGTCACTGTGTCAAACATACTCTGAAGCCCCCTACCATTGAGTAAACCCCTTTTATTGTTTCAGCCAGTGTAAGTTGAGTTTAAAAACCAAAGACATCCAACCCAGCAAAGAAGGCAAGAAAGTCCAGCTGGAATGAGGTGAAAGACGTAGCTCATTTGGAATCTGTACTTCCAACGCAAAGTAGATCCTAGCTTCGTCTCGTTTCTCCTTTTACCTGATCTTCTCCATACCTCTGAGAACGTGGAAATAAAAACGAAATTTAAGAGTGACCCCGCCCCCCTCATCCGGGAGCCCACCAAGAGTCACCTCATTAGAACAAAAGACGCTCCTATCACCCGGGAAATTCTAAGGGTTTTAGGAGCTCTGTGTCAGGAACTGGCATAGTGGTTAGGTGTGCATGCTCCTCTTAGGTGGCCCAGGGTTTGCGGGTTTGGGCTCTGGGTGTGGATCTACACACCACTCATCAAGTCATGCTCCCACAAACAACATGGAGGAAGATTGGCAAGGATATTAGCTCAGGGACCATCTTCCTCAAGCAGAAAGAGGAAGATTGGCAGCAGATGTTAGCTCAGGGCCAATCTTCCCCACCAAAAAAAAAAAAAAGCAATTTAAGAGAGTCTATAATTTTGCATTTTGCCTTCCCATTAGGAGTCACCTCAACTCCTCCCAGCCACAGGATGGCCAAGTGTCTGCAGAAGATGGAGAGAGATCTGTGGGGGCCACACCTGTGTGCTCACCTGGCCTTAGCCACTCTGTGCCAGCTGTGTCGTCTGGTCTCCAGGGGTAAGTCTGACTTTCTGAGTATTTCCTTTCTAGGAAAATGCATTTACCAGATAATAGTGCTCAATCATTTTTTTTTGTCCTGTTCCAACACAAGAGAGGACCCAAGTTTTTTGAGGAAACTGAGGAACATGATACACTACGGTGGAATAATAAAAATATATATATTGGTTTCTGCTCCCAGTTCCTGACACAGAGCTCCTAAAACCCTTGTAAACAGGGATGCCAGGAGAATCTTTTGTTCTAACATCTAGTCTTTGACCCCAGTTCCTGACACAGAGCTCCTAAAACCCTTAGAATTTCCCGGGTGATAGGAGCGTCTTTTGTTCTAATGAGGTGACTCTTGGTGGGCTCCCGGATGAGGGGGGGGGGGTCACCAGAAAGATCAAGCCATGATTAGAAGCTTGGGACTTTCCACCCCATTTCCCATGCTCTTGGAAGTGGGGAGGGGCTGGAAATGGAGTTTCCTATTGATGAAGCCTCCATAAAAATTCCAATGGCAGGGGGTTCAGGGAACTTCCAGGTTGGTAAACACATCTATAAGCCATGTATCCCAACTCCACGGGGACAGAAGACCCTGTGCTTGGGACCCTTCCAGACCTCATCCTATGTGTCGCTTCATCTGTCTGTTCATCTGTATCCTTTATTGTATTCTTTGTAATACACTGATAAACATAAGTAATTCCCTAAGTTCTGGGAGCCATTCTAGCAAATTATCGAACCCACGGAAGGGGTTCATGGGAAGACCGGTTTACAGCCCTTGGTCAGAAGTACAGGTGACAACCCGGGACATGTGTTGGCATCTGCAGTGGGGGCAGTCTGGTGGGACAGAGCCCTTAGGCTGCGGGATCTGAGCCCAACTCCAGGCAGAACTGAATTAAATTACAGGACACGCAGCTGGCGTCTAGGAGGACTGCTTGTGTGTGGAAACCCCACATCTGGTGTCGACGTGTTGTGAGTGTGGTAACAGCGTGAGAGTAAACGAGAAAAACAGAAGCGTGATTTTCCTTCTCAACCACCCTCAGTAACACTAGCTCCTGAGAGCAGGTCCTCACCGGGCACAGAGAGTTCCAGAACACCCCTCTGGTGAACCCCGAGCGACTACTCCTGCTCCTGTGGAGAATTTGTTTAGATCCTTTGATTGAGAGCTCAATGGGATAATCGACTCCAAAACCAGTAATTATCAATGTGGGTGTTTTAGGCCTCATCTGGGAAGTTCTACTTGATGGAAGAGAAGCTTTATATTCATCAACAGAATTTTTATATTTATACTTAATTAACATTTACCTATTAACAGAACTGGCTGATATAGAAATAGGAAGTTTAAATTTTTTTTTTTTTTTTTTGAGGAAGATTAGCTCTGAGCTAACATCTGCCGCCAATCCTCCTCTTTTTGCCGAGGAAGACCGGCCCTGAGCTAACATCCATGCCCATCTTCCTCCACTTTATATGTGGGATGCCTGCAACAGCATGACCTGCCAAGCGGTGCCATGTCTGTACCCGGGATCTGAACCAGGGAACCCCAGGCTGCTGAAGTGGAACAGGCGCACTTAACCGCTGCGCCACTGGGCCAGCCCCAGTTTAAATGTTTGATGAGAATAAGGCTGAAGGGTGACCCTCCTGCCTGTGGGCTCTTCAGCTGGGCATCCTGGGTCACAGGCCAGCTCTGCCACTAACCCACTGTGTGACTCTGGGCTACTTTCTTAACCTCTCTGACCTCAGTTTCCTCACCTATAAAAATGGGAGCGTAAACAACTACTACCTCATAAGGTTGGTGTGTGGATCAAATTAGCTAATTGATATCAAATGTTTGGAATGGTCCCTGGCACACAGCTAAGGCTGCTAGAGTACTGATTACTTTTTTATTATTGTAAGATATGCAATCCATATTGAAAAGCTCACACAAAATAGAAGGAAAATTGAACCTAACTAGAGGGGCAAGTCTAACATCCTTAGTCTTATTAAGGTTAAAATCTCTTTTAAAAAATTTAATAATAATACCAAGAAGGGATGAAAAAAGCTTATCTCCTTAGAAAATTCTAATGACCTTAGAACTGGGAGCAACTGCTTCTTGCTGAAGCACAATGATAGGAATAAAATTAAAACATGATGACCTGGCTTCCCAGATGTCAGAAAAACAGTATGGGGGTGGGGATGTGTGCCTGGCTATGAGAATATATGATGGTTGGGGCTGGCCCGGTGGCGCAGTGGTTAAGTGCATATGCTCTGCTCCGGCAGCACAGGGTTCGCTGGTTCAGATCCCGGGTACAGACATGGCACGCTTGGCAAAAGCCATGCTGTGGTAGGCGTCCCACATATAAAGTAGAGGAAGATGGGCACAGATGTTAGCTCAGGGCCAGTCTTCCTCAGCAAAAAGAGGAGGATTGGCGGCAGATGTTAGCTCAGGGCTGATCTTCCTCAAAAAAAAAAAAAAAAACAGAGAGAATATATGATAGTACCTGCCAGGCCCTGGAGACTCAATCAAGACAAGGCAATGAACACAGGCACTACCACCCTCCAATTAGACGTGGCTGGGCTGCTGGTCTTCACTATAATCCATCCATCCCACACTTCCATCCAGCCAGTCTGTCTCAGACTGGTCCCAAGCTGCTGTTTCACATGAGATGCCATTTTTAAGGGCAGAGCAGGGAAGTGAGTACAGATGTGGTCTCCACGGTGCAAAGGATGCTGGGAGGATCCCGTGGCTATGCCCTGTTGTCAGGACACTGGGAAAGACCACACCGGATGTGTGTGCTGCTTCCCTCCACCAGTACCAGCCTCCCCCGCCACCACCACTTCGCCTCCACCATGAGGCATCTTCTTGCCCAGATGCTGTCTGCGCCTGACTTCCTCTTTTTGTGTATATTTGAAATCCCAGATGAAAGGAAGACTGTGGCGAGAGAATGGGTGTCATTTAGGGAGCCACAAACAGCTGTACAGCTTTCAGGGTTTGCCAGACTTTCCACGGTGAAAGGACTGGTGGGGACTGAAACATCACAAAGAAAGTCATTAGATTACAAAACAACGGGGGCCCAGTACGGGGAACACATATTGCAGCTGGGAAGCCACAGTGGGGACGAGTCACACAGGGACCCTCTCCCAGCCGAGGGATGCTGACACCATGGCCATCCAGCCTCCAGAGCAGAGCCGGGCGAACACTGTGTGTGCGCGTTCCGGCCAAGGCGGCGTGAAATTAATTCAGCAACATCCACAGCGCAGTGTGGCTTTAACAACCCCCATATAAGCCCCAAACACCCATAGCCTGTTTCAGCTGCCAGTGTTCAAGAAAAGCCAAGCAAAAGAGAGAAACCCACAAGCTTCGATCTGTGTAACTGTCTACACAGCCTCCCGCTGTGTACGTTTCCCCAGTCCTCCCCCGATACAGTCCTTTGGGTTCAGGATTTATGCTTGGTGTGGACACCAGTATCCGTTTATGTTGGTTTAATGAAATCAAGCAGAGGAAGCAGGAT